GAGCGGGAGCGGGCCGCCGCGGGTGCGGGCCGAGCGCGGTCTCCGCCGCCGCTCTCTAGGCACCTCCTGTCCCTCCCTTGCTACCCCTTTCCCAGCGCTGGCCTTGGGCCCATGGTCCAGAGGCCCGGGGACTTCTCCCGCTGCCCGTGGTCGCCCAGCCTGGCCCTCTGCGGCCCGCCCTGCTTGCTTGTGTCCCTGTCCTTCCAGGCCTCAGGCTGGAAAGCGCCGAGGGGCCTCCGTTCTCCGTGTCTGTCTCTTCCTGTCAGCCGCCACTGATTCTGTGGCCAAAGCATCTCGGTGTCTTGTCCCTCCTGCCACGTCCTCCCCTCCTCTCTCCGGGTCTCCCGCCACCCTGCGTTCATCCCATTGTCAGCTGGGAAACCAGAGCCATGTGCTGGGTGTAGGAGACGCGGGCAGCGTTCAGACACGGACCGAGGACGGAACCGAGTGGGGCGGGGCCCCCACCCCGCCTGGGGCCACTGGTGCTGCCTGTCATCCCTCCCAGCGGGAGCCATCTCTCGGGTGTCACATTGCATGCCCTTAAAAGTCTGAAACAAAACAATGTTGCCATGTATGTATTAAAACACCTTTGGGGACCAGCAGATGCCGTAGTGGCTGTCATGGACTCCCACATAGTCGGCCACAGTTGGAGTCCCTGACCTGGTGGCTTGAATCTCAACGCCAGGCACGTGTGCATCGGTGTCCAAGATCCCAAGAGGAGGATGGAGATGGGATTGCAGCCTGGCCATCCCCCTGGGGGTGTGATTACTCACTTTCTGTCTCTCTGGCGAGCTTTGCTGTCCTCTCTTACCTTTTTTTTGTTTGTTTCCCGCAACCTATAGCAAATATCTCTCAAAAAAAACATACAACAACTTTGCACATGTATATTTATCACTAATGCACATGAGATGTGGTTTGTCTAGTTTTTGTTCTCTACAAAACCCACGCCACACTTGGGCCTGTGCTGCAACTCAGTTTTGTTTCTCCACGTAAGGTTCCACCACAGGACACATGTGCTGGCTGGAGAGAGTGAGGAGGGTGAGAAATCACGCCCCATGGGGTGCCCATACCACACTCCCGTGTCCTCCGCTTTCCTCTTTGGATGTTGAGTGCACACACGCACACTCCTGTGATTTTCAAGCCGTCAGGTCCAGCCTCTGAGCTGTCGTCAGCCATGTGGGAGTTCAGCCTCTGAGCCACCCTGGTGCCTGCTGGGCAAGTCTTCCACAGGATCGTGCAAGTTTGCTTGTTAGAGGGCTCGTGTGCGCACCAGAGCGAGGCGGAGGGCCAGGAGAAGGCACCCTGTGGTCCCTGACGGTGCTCCTTTTGGGCGTTGGGCATGCACACTTCTCAGGTCACCGTGTCTGTGATTGGAACTGCGCAGCCAGCCACGGGGGCTTCAGCTGACTTATCCACTAGGCCAGCGGTTGGCCCTGTCAGTTTCATTAGGTTCATTGAGCTTGTTAATTTTGATTGAGTTACTAGGTTCTGTGTGTATTACATGATCACAATCCCATCTCTGCTGAAATGCAGGTATTTCTGAAACCAAAAGGTATTTTTGAGCTGTTTTAATAGCCTCTACCCACATCGTGTGAATATCCCCAGACTGGAGAACCAATGTCTGGCCATGGGGCGCCGTCCGACCCCAGGGACTGCTGTGTGGCACTGAGCTGCCTGATCTTCGTACCTCCCAGACAGTTCTGAGTCCTGAGGCACACCCGCCCAGGGTGGCTGTGGGACTGGTTGTGCGTGCCTCTGCTCCTCAGTCCATGCTGCTGTGCAGGGAGCGTGTGGCGAGTGTTTGGAGCACTCCCGTGAGCAGGGCCGTCTGTGCATGCTTTGTGCCAGTGGGTTTTCTGGGACGTGATCTCGCAGGAGTGGAACCACCAAGCTATAAGGTGCACGCTCATTCCGCTTCCCGAGAGCACCACATCCCGCGTACCTCTCTTCTCCGGCTGCGGAGCAGGAGCAGGAGCTCAGCAGGACTGCGTCTGCGCTTGCTGGTCACCCTACCCTGGGGGCATGTGCGTGCATCCTTCTCTCCGTACGGCACGTTGACATGTTGGCACGGGATGCAGCTCTTCAGCTCAGCTCTCCGGGCACTGCCTCTGCACTTAGCAGGAAGTCTGGTCTGACTCCACCGGACCCCAGCCAGCATCTGGCCTGGGGCTGAGCCCCTTGGCGCTCTGGTGCATTCACCACAGCGACTAAACACTTGGCCTCCTTGCTGTCCCCAGCACCTGTTTGAGTCTCAGCCCCTTGCCCGCGCTCAGGGTCAGGTTCACCCCACTCCCTCCTTTACTCCCTACTGCCTCCCGCTGCGCTCCCTTCCTGAAACGGTCATGGTGGCCGTAGGATTCCTCGCCGATTCTTACAGTTTTTGTTTTCTTGTAGAAGTAAATCAGAATGAGTTATGCAGAAAAACCCGATGAAATCACAAAAGATGAGTGGATGGAAAAGCTCGGTAATTTGCACGTCCAGCGAGCAGACATGAACCGCCTCATCATGAACTACCTGGTCACAGGTGAGGGCTCACGGTGCGGACA